AAAAGTGGGGACCTGAGCTCCCCGTGAGTCTGGCGAGGGTTTGTCAGGGGTGCAGCTCTGCTTAGCTTCTCCTTTGCCTCATCCTGTGTCCCTTCCACTTGTGGCTTCAAGGGTCAATTACACATGGATGTCCTACACAGCCCACTTTGTGTCAGAGGCTGCTTCCTGCAGAAGCTAGCCCTCTAAGCATGGCGACTTGGGTTGAAGGAATGGGGTGGGGTGGGGAATGGAGATGGTTGCCTTGAGATGAAAAGCAATGGTAGAAAGGATGGTATGACCATCCCTATCACCCTGAATCCATTCCAGCTCTTTCAGAGAATTGTGCGTATTGACACAGAATTGAAGCCACCAAATAGGAAGTCAATGGCAGCCCTGGTACAGCGACCGTGTCAAAGCCAAGCCACATTAGGAGTCTGGGGTGGGGGGGAGAAAGCCAACAGGAGGGAAGGGGAAAAGATGAGTCAGGTGACAACCACCTCGAGTGCCTTCTCCCAGGAGGGACCCGGGACACAACAGATGAGTGTGTGAATGGGGTCAGAGGGCTGGCCTGGGACACAACAGACGAGTATGTGAATGGGGTCAGAGGGCTGGCCCGGGACACAACAGATGTGTGTGTGTGTGAATGGGGTCAGAGGGCTGGCCTGGGACACAACAGACGGGTGTGTGAATGGGGTCAGAGGGCTGGCCTGGGACACAACAGACGGGTGCGTGAATGGGGTCAGAGGGCTGCGGGTTGAATCTGGACTCTGTGACTCCATTCCCTCATCTATGCACATCAAGCTACCTGTTAGGATTATGATAAAAACTAAACAGAAGACTCTCTTTGTGTGTCCATGTGTGTGCACTATTGTTGGTAAAGGCTAAAGAAAAATTTACACCGCTTCCCTCATCCCTACGGCACCAGCCACCAGGCACCTTCTCAAAAACAAATAGCACCCCAGTGTCTATACCAACATCAAGTAGTTGGGGGAAAAGTAGGTCAGCTTGGAAAAGTAAACTCGCCTGTCATCTCACAGGGGCGATGGTAAATACCAGAAGACGAAAAATGCATAACCCGTCTAGTTTTTACATGGATGTTTCTCACTATAAACTTTCAACTGAATCTTATAGAAGACTGAGAGAAGACAGCACTGGCTAGGGCTCTGGAAAATCTCCTTTCCTCTTAAATGTATAGAAGTGACTTCTAAGACTAGCCTGTATCAATAAAAAGAGGAGAGAAAATGCCTGGCTTTAGATTAATGTCTTGTAATTGAGTGTGGGCACCAGTCAGAGAGAGATGAGAAAACCAGACTGTAACTTCTTCCTAAGACAACAGCTAATGTGTGAGTTCAGTATTCTATCTGCCAGTGTGGAGACACTTAGCTTTGAAAACAAACTCTGCTTTTCTGGAGCATTGGCTTGGATTAGCTAGAAGACTAATACAAAAATCATGGCATTGCCTCCCTCTCCTTCAGTTGAAAAGAATCACTCAAGTCATCCATGTTCACTGAAGACAAGTTGGAAAACACAGAGAAAGCAAGAAGTTCAGAGAAGAAATGAACACTTCATATTTCTAGGGTGCACATGTGTGTGCTTGCATCAAATATGGCTTTGCACACATCATTGTTTTTGTGACACCTTTCTTACCAATGAGTATGTAGCTACAACATCATTTCCCTCAGAGCTCTTTTTGAAGGTGTATTAGCCACAGTTGCTAAGCATTTATTGTGACCCTAGTTCTCCACTATTATATGTAACTCTGTGGTAAGTGTACTTGTGTGTGTTTATTTTTACACATGACTCTGAGATAAGTTTAAGTTTTTAAATAAAGGTTTTCTAGGTCAAAATATTTAATTCTTCCAAGTTAATATAATGCATATGTGGAAAGAAAAATATATATCTAGGTTTAATATCAAAATTTGAAGGTCAGGCACTTTTTTCAAAACTTTTTTTCAATTTACCAAAATGTATCCAACATAAGTGTTTTTGAAGGTCTTAGCTAGAAGTGACAGCATGTCTGTCCCTTGTAGATGTAACCAACCATCTTATTAAATAAGAAACACAGAACCAATGTAAAAGAGAAAGCCAAGAGGTCAGAGCTCAAAGCTAAAATCTCACCCTTCCTCCTGTGGTGCTCCTAGCTCCCCGAAAGAGACCTATTTCCTGTGTGTATGTCTTTAAATAATCTTTCTGTTCTGCCTTCTCATTGGTTGTAAACCCAAACACATGACTGCCTCATCACTGACTGTAAGTACAGCCCTCCAGGTCTTAAAGTCGTATGTCTCCAATGCTGGCTGTATCCCTGAAAACACAGAGATCTACGGGATTAAAGGCATGCACCACCACCGCCACACTCTTGCTATGGCTCTAATAGCTCTGACCCCTGGGTAACTTTATTTATTAACATACAATTAAAATCACATTTCAGTACAAATAGAATACCACCATAGTTCCTGGTTTTGAATCCTGGTTGTTCCTGAAGTGTGGTCCCTGGACTAGCATCACCAAGACTAGTTAATAATAACACAGTCTCCTGGGCTCCTACTGGGTCAGAGCCTCTCAGGGGAGGGTGTGGAATAGCTGTCCAATGGGTCTGATGCTCTCAGCACTGTGAGAAGCACACTGGCACTTCCCATTACCTTCTCACGGTGTGTTCACTGTGTCCTGTCTAGATATGGCAACATATCTACCCATCTCAAAGCTCCCTGAAAACACGAATATTGGGCATATCTGATGCTCCCATACATACCCTAGAAAGATTCTGTGCCAACAAACAGTCCAAACATGCTTCAGAATCAAGTGATTTTTAGTTGAGTGTAGCTTTCTGCAGATTTCTAAGTTTTTGCACTAAACAGTTCAACACTGTGATGGTGAAATCTCGATGGTCACTGTGACTGAATTGAGAGAAGTGAGGAGGATCAGAAAGCACACTTCCAGGTGTGTCTGGCCTGGCATTTCTAGAAAGCCCGGATAAGTGAGAGAGCAAGGACATCCAGGGAAGGAGTAAGTCTCCCTGAGTGTGAGCAGCAGCCTCCAACATGCTGGGAACCTGGGTAGAATGGATGGAGAAGGGTCTCAGCCAGCACATACACGTTCCACTCTTCCTGAACAAGGGCGTCTACTGCTGCTGCCCTCGCAATACAGACTCCAGCGCCATCGTCAGCCTTTCCATACAGATTTGCACCAACAACTACCCTGCTGCTTGCAGCCTTCACTTCAGACTGGTGCCAGGTCATCCCCCACCTCCCTTATTCTGAGGCTTCTGGTTTCTTGACTGAGAAACTACTCTGTTCTCAACAGATAGTCATTGTTCAGCTATACAGCCTCTAATCATGTAAACCAATCCAATAAACCCGTGTATGTATGTTTGTAAGTATGTATATGTTTTATTTTTATCTTTTTTTTTTTTTCGAGACAGGGTTTCTCTGTGTAGCTTTGCGCCTTTCCTGGATCTCACTATGTAGACCAGGCTGACCTCTAACTCACAAAGATCCCCCTGCCTCTGCCTCCCAAGTGCTGGGATTAAAGGCATGTACCACCACCACCCGGCTGTATGTACATATATGTGTATGTATGTACATATGTATGTATATGTACATATGTATGTGTGTATGTATACACATATGCCTATCTGTCTGTATGTCTGTATGTGCATTTTCTATTTTTTTTCCATTCCTCTGAAGGACCCTAATGCATAGTACTTTTAAATAACTGGATACATTTGTTTTGCTGACTGAACCACAAGTGGTCTCAAGAACAAAGCAATTGGTCTGGTGACTCACAACTACTAGAAAGAAGAGCTTACTATTCTCCCTTGAGAGCCAGCACAGCTCAAATGGCCAGGTTAACCTGCTGACTCACAAGGGTAACTGTGAGTTAGAAACTGCCACAGTCAGATGACCCAGAGGCATCACTGGACCACCCCCGGGGCTGAGATGGCTGCCAGGCAATCTGCATTCCAACTCCTCTCCTAAGCTGGATGCTGTGGACATCCAGTCTCAGCTGAGCACTTAGCTGGGCAGACCCCGGGGCTATGGCTTTGGTTCTGCTGGCAGGCACTCCATGCTGGGCATGCCCCTGCCACTGCTGTGGTCCTCTGGGTGAGTGAGAACCCAGCATGGACACTCACTTCATTGTGTCAATCTGCTATTACTGTATGAAGCACCTGCTCCCTCTACAGTCAGCAGCATGGAAGGTACATAAGAAACCACCTAGCATCACATCGTACTTGGTTTCTGCAGAAGCCAGGAGAGCACAAGCTGCCATAAAACATTGCAAGTGTCTCCCAGTCTTCCTACCTAAATTCTTTGGTATTTTTAAGTTCTCTCTTGGCAACAACAAAAGCTCTTATTGTAGCAAATATTTGACATTTTTGGCTTCATGTCATTCCCCAACTGTGGCTTAGGGAAAGAAGACACTGTTTCTTTAGGGAATAAATTAAGCCAGTTCAGCAAGATGGCTGAAAGGATGAAGGCACTTACTGCCGCACGAGCCTGGAGACCCGAGTTTGATCCACAGAACTCAAGTAAAGGTGGAAAGGAAAAAAACTGTCCACAAATTACCCTTGGCCCCCCACATGTGCTCTGTGGCATGTGCCCACCCATACAATAGCAAGAAATACATTTTTAAAAGAATGAAAATTATGTACCTGGATTTCCCATTATAATCACAGGCTTGATGATTCTGGCAAGAGAACAAAAAGACTGTTCTCTGATCGTGACACAGGCTGCCTGCCCCGTCCCTGAGCCATCTAGATAGGGTCCGTGCTTCCTCTGTTACTCTGCAGCATCACGGTTATTGTGACAAAGTTCACAAGCATTTGCAGCACACACATTCCAACTGCAGAAGTTTTATTCTTTCAAAGTAATTGCACTTGGGAAAACGGTCACTGCTTATACTTGACCTGTGCCTCATTTTCTGCTCTTTCTGTTCCTCTTCCTCTTTCCTAATCCCATCTAGAATTATTCAGTCTCCAGGTCACAGATGAAACTTGTTTCCTTTTCCCTGTGGAAAAAAAACTGAGGACAATCTGAGTCATTTGGGTACTTTCATTTAGGGTAATAATTCACCCTCCATGTCTGAAGAAACACTGGCGTTCCATGTAAGGACGTGCTGGGTGCTCTCTGGATACTTACTGGTGTTCCATGTAAGAAGAAGGACCTACTGGGTGTTCTCTGGTATTGTTACAAGGTTTGTACTGTTCCAAATTGCCCCAAATCTAGTGCATGATACAATCCCTTGAACCTGCTAGACCTCCCTGTGTCTGATTTTATGGCTGAAGGAGAAATGAAATGCAGATTCCAAGGAAAACTTGTGTACATTACATGAGGAGATGTTAGAAAAGCGAGTCCATGGCTATACACCAGACCCATGTTTAAAGTCCTCAAAATGATTCTAATACATGCTCCAGTGTGGGGATCACCAATGTTATCTGCCCTTGATGCTATAACAGAGAATAGCCTATTGGAGTCAGAGGGGGCACCTTCTCATTCAGGATCTCTGGAACCTACACAAATGTTGACTCCCTTACCAAGCCAGTCACCAGTGATACAGACAGGGAAAATCTGTTAATTCTGCTCTGAGTCACAGAAAAAGTAGGATTTGGAGTGGGATCAAAGTATCACCTTCCAGACTTCCAGGACTGTACAGGGACAACTTGCCCAGTAAGTAACCCTCAGAGGACATCTCTGTTGTTCTTTCTTGTAGATGACCAAGAGACACTCCTAAGGGGTTTGTGAAAAATGCTTAATGTCCTAACACACTCAGTGGGCACCTGGGTACTTCCAAAATGCATGGGTTGATGCTGTATATGAGAAGAACCATTTCAATTCACAGAACTTTCATGGTTTTTTGTTTTGTTTTGTTTTTGTGACAAGGTTAATAGTCTCATACATCTAAATTTGAATTATCTCTTGGATTCCAGTGACATCCTGATATGTATCAATAGCCGCAATGACTAATGTGCTCTATTATTATAGACAGTTAGCTGTAGTTAGTAGTCAGAGTAAAACAAATATCAATGGTCCAAGCAATCTTGGGTTCTCACCCCTACAAGACTAAAGAAGAGATTATTTCATTGTTTCTTTAATGACAGAGAAGAGGCCAAAGTCCCGAAAGTAGTCAGTTTCTTATATATAATGAGGAGCGTTCCGTGAGTTCCCTCCATGGACTGGTTATTTCAGAAGCACATGATTCCATCATCTTAATGCCTATAGCTATAAATCAAAGCTTCCTCCCTTATGAGTAACATCCACTGGACAGACTAAGGTGTTGTTAGTTTCTAGATGTGGGATAGAGATATTTCCCAGTGCACAGAGTGCTTATTGTGTAAGCATGAGGACCTGAAATGCACAGCTCTCGGGGTAAGAGACAGGAGAATTGTTGGGGGCTTGCTGGTTGCCAGCCCAGATGGAGATTTAGTGAGAGACCCTGGCTCAAAGGAATAAGGCAAAGGTTGATAGTGCAAGGTACCTGACATCCTCTTCTGACCTCACACACATGTGTATTCATATACCACATCACATACACTGTGATGGATAATCTCCATTGTCAGTGTGACACACCTGGGAAAAAGGAAACCCGACTGAGAACATGCCTGTGTCAGATTGGCTTGTAGGCATGTTTGTGTGGCATTTTCTTGATTGTTGATTGACGTGGGAGGGTCCAGCTCAATCTGGCAGTGCCACCTGGGGCAGGTGGTCCTGGGGGAAAGACTATAAGACCAGAGGGCTAGAAAGTCTAGAATGTCTTATAACATGAGAAGGAAGCTACATCTATGATACCTGAACAATACATCTGCCTAAACAAGACCTGAACAATGACAATACCAATAGACATGATAACATGAAAGGGGCTTATTTCCACTGCATCCCCTTAATTGGTTACCCGATACCAAGTGGTCTGACTTAAAACATACATACAAGCAACACTAATCAGACTCAGCATATTGTATTTATATATATATATATATATATTACATGTTTATAATATGTAATTATAAACATGTAAAAAAATTACATGTTTATAATTACATATAACTAACAAAGAAAAAGTGACCATGAATTTGAGGGAGAGCAGGGGTGGGTATATAGGCATTGAAGGGAGGAAGGGAAGAGGGAAAATGTGTAATTTCATTTTAATCACCTTTTTATTTAAAAAAAGAGAAAGGTATATGACCATGAATGTGGAATCTAGCCAATAAATAGCTTTTATCCATGGTTCCTGCCTATTCTTGCTTGAGTTCCTGACTGGCTTCCCTCAATCGTGGACTGTGATCAGGATAGGTAAGCCAAATAAACTCTTTCCTCCCCAGGTTGTTTTATCACAACAGCAGAGACACACCATAAGCAAACACACAGGAAGTTACCAGTGATGAGAAGTAATTTTAGGCAGCAAGCAGCTTAGCAGTTTGTTTGTGGCAAACTCTGAAATGCCTTATAACTACTTTCTACAGATGCCAGGGCACTCTAATGCAGGAACACCCAGCTTTGATGAACTTAATCAGCCTTGCAATTAGAGAACTTGGAGATGGGCTATTAGAACTTTGGAGTGTATGTAACTTTTCTCTGACAATCTAATTTAAACAAAAAGTTAAAATGATCTCTGTGAGTTCGAGGCTTGCCTGGTCTACATAGCAAGTTCCAGGACAACCAGGGCTACCATAGAGAGACCCTGTCTCAAACAAACAAACATTTAAGTTTACTATAATCTTAGTAATCAAGGTCTCCAAATGTCTTATTCCAGGCTTAAGAGCAGGTTCACTAGAGGAAAGAAACAGAATTGGTCTCTACTTTCCAATGTTTTGATGATGATTTTAATTGTACATATTTATGTAAATTACTATAGCTGTTATGGGGAACAGTATGCAAGTACCTCAAAAAACTAAAAATGGTTACGATCCAGCTATTTCACTTCTGGGTATATATCCAAAGGAAATGCAATCAGTGTATTGAAGGAATACCTGCAAGCTCATGTTTATTCCTATGTTCATTTTAAAAAGTGACAGGAGGCTAGAGAGATGGCTCCATGGTTTAGAGCACTGGCTGCTCTTGCAGAGGACCAGGGTTTCATTCCTAGCACCCACATGGCTGCTCACACCATCCCTAACTCTAGTTCTGGGTGATCTGACACCTTTTCTGGCCTCGGTGAGCACCAGCACACACATGGTACACAGACATACAGGCAGGCCAAACATCCATATGCATAAAATGATTTAAAAACTTATATGAATTCATGTACATAGTACTTTTTAAAATCAAAATTAACAATTTGAAGAAAAAAAATTTCCTAATTAACCTGTGAGTTCCACTCCCCCAAATCAACTATATTCAACATCTTTGCGTTTTATTGTTTGCTCTTTTTTTCTACATCACATGTTTATTTTAGTTTCCTGTTTTATATGATCTATGAACCTTCTACTCTTCATTGGGGAATTTGAATTTTGTTTTTCCTTTGTCCATCTCTCTCTCCTCCCTCCTTTTCTTTTCTCTCTCTTTCCTCTACCTTGCCAATAAAGTTATACCACAAATTTTAAATAATCAAAATTTTAAATCATTATGACCAAATAAATGTCATACACACAATGCTTGTAGGTTACATTTCCTTTCTAAGTCTTTTGTTTCTTTGTTTTGTTTTTCCAGGAGTTAATAATTGTCTTGGTGTTTTTACATTACTTTGTTTTCTGGCTACTTCTCTCTAGTCCATCCCTAAACTCTCCAAAGGAACTCTAATCCATCTCCAAATTCTCATAATAGCCGGATTCAGTGGGTTATCATTAGTTCCACATCTCTTCGGCACATGCCCATTCCGCCTTGAAGTCCTCTGGCCCAGGCCAGTTGAATGCCTTGCTCTCCAGGTCTGTTGCTCAGTTGCCGTCTGGAGACCTTCCTTTGCTATCACCCCCTGAAACCCTGCGTTCTTTTGTGTTGACCTCCCCATCACCTGCAGACCCCGCCTTACTCTTTCTCAATCAACTGCTATATTTTCATAGAGCATGATTTCTAGAAACTTCTTTAAAAAGTCATGAGACATAGATATTTTTGAGACATGTGTTTTGAAGTTGTATGTTTGGAAGTGCCTCAATTCCTCTCTCATGATGGAATGAGGTTGATGGCAGTGGTTTGGATAGATTTTTTTTTTAAGATCTATACTTGATTAGTGGTTGAGAAGACAAAAAATTCTAGGCTCAAATTATCTTCTAGCCTCTGGTATTACTGAAAAAATGAGAAACCATTATTTTTCCTGATATTTTATACATGATCTGTCTTATTCTCTCTAGACCTATCAATTTGTTCTTTTCTGTTCTTTCTGAAATTTCTTTAATTAGATTCTAAATCACTTTGATTGATTTTTTTCTTATTGCTTATTTCATTCTGGAAATTAATTCCTAATTCTAGTGAGTTTTCCTTCCTGCTTTTGAATTATAATTTTAATAGCTTTTTATTATTTTATGGCTATTCCTTTTTGTTTGTTTCTATAGGATTCTCTAACATCTTTTAAGAATTTAGTGATAGGATAATTTTCCTTTCTTCCTTACATTATGTTTCCTGGGGATTTTGTGTGATTTTGTCTTAACTTTTCTCCTGTTTGTTACATATGAAGAACATTATATATGTGGGATATAGGGAACATACATATTCCATCTGGCTATGTGTTCAAATCTAAGTGTTAAACATCACAAGCCATGTTAAGCTCTTCTATAAATTTGGTATTATCAACTGGCAGGTCTGCTTTTTGCCATTTTGTTGAGAGGATATCCACATTCACAAGAACCTTAAGTCCAGTAAGTGTTCTGAGTGATGTCCTTGGAATGGATCCATGGTGCTCTGCCAGTATTGGAAGGAGTAGGCAAGCGAAGCAGTGTTTGAAGTTTTTATTGATCAACATTGAGCTAGCTTCCTTCTGTTTTCATCACATCTGTGATGTGGGTAAATGATGCATGCCTTTTGTGTCCCTAAATTCAGAGTCGCTGTCACTTAATGCCCCCCATAAAACCTAGTGGGGGCATTTGTGTCTTACTGTGGGGAGGGGTTCCTGGCAGTTTTAATGGGGGGAAGAGGACCTGGAGTCTATTAGTCTTTATTCACATGGTCAACCAGTCCTTCTCTCCACCCACATCCTGCTCTCAGAGTTACTGAGGCTAAATACTGAGTCTTCCTGGGGTTCTTCAGGACCAGCGGGGCTTGCTTCTCCACACTAAAGGTATCCCCCTCCCTCCGACACACATCTTAGGAGCTTAGCTTTCAGAGTTCCTTGCTTTCTAAATCAGTCACCATTTATCCATTTACTTTCTAAATTCTTAAATTCACCAGTACCTTTCTTCTACTCTTTATTTTTTCCTGTAGGTTTATGTCAGCTTTATCTCTTAACATGTGTCATCTTAGTGGGGCTCCAGGCAGAGATCAATGTGTGTTTTTCTTACACACTCCCCATGCTTGTTTCTATAAAATTATATAGCCTACAAGTGAAATTAGACATCACCTACACAATCCAAGTTACGTTTCTGTAGATGGGTCTGTCTTTTTCAAGACAATTTTATGTAGAAAAGCCAATTTGTAAAACAGGTAAGAGTGGTACTATTTTGGTTGCAGCTGGTAAACTAACAAGGTTTGCATCTGATTGCTCCTAAAATAACTAAAAATGCTTGCTAGGGGCCTCTTTTTCACCAGACACAGTATGAGTTTCTGGAAAAACACAGGAGAAATGTAGCTTCTGAGCCACGCTGCTCAGTGCACACCCCTTTGCCAAAACCTGCCTGAGAAATCTGCTTTGAAGATTTCTCATCTAGTTGAGATACAGAAGAAAAATGATTTGGCCAAGGGCAGCCTCCCTAGTCCTCCAAACCATTCCCAGGAGTGAGGTGCCCTGAACAAGTATTGCTGATATGCAGGAAATCAGATCACAGGGTGGTGGCCAGGAAGGAAAAGTCAAAGAGCTGTGTGTAACTATGGCTTTGTGCCTGGAGATGTAGCTAAAGCTTGAAAAAGGCTATATATTATGCAGAAAGCTCCTAACCAATAGTGGCAACTGTTTCCCCTACAGAAAAATGTCATCGTTGATCTCTATATTCTTGCCATCTCCTTTGAAGATACTGCTTTTGTTTTTATAATTAAAATCCCTAAAACACTAACTCAAAATTTGAAAGAAAAAAACCTCAGTGGTTTTTCATCTAGGATCTTAAAGAACTCTTTGTGAAAAATCTATTGTTGAATGCTGAAAGTTATCACAGCTGGGCTTTTTGAATTAAAAAAAAATAGAAGAAGCAAAAAAAAAAATAGGGTTTTATCATTGAAGCACAGCAATCCTATTTATTGAGACTGACAACGCTAAAGACATTTCAGCTTTGTTTTTCAGACCAAATCTCTTCCAATAACTGACTGACCTTCAGAGTGACAGGACTTTCTGCTTCACTGAGTGTAATCTGCTTTGGTAGGTTCAGCTGGACAGGGAGATTCCTTTTCCAGGGACTCTAAACCTATTATGCACTGCCAGGCTACCATTTTGATCATAAAGGACTACCAAATGTCATTGACTTCATCCTTGGAGACTGGAAGTCACTTATAATAATAACAAAGGGTTCTTCCTCAAGTGTCCTAGCTGTTATGGTCTCTATTGGCCTCAGCCTCCTCCTCTGTAAAATGCAGAAAGGTTCCTTCACAGTTTTCCACTCCTTGGCTATGCTAGCAGAAGCAGAAAGATCACTACAGTTTGGAATCTGAAGAAGCTGACTTACCTTGAGAGGTACAACCCAGGACGTTTTCCAAACACCCAACCAGGGCTTCAATATCACTGTCCTGTCAATGCAAGAAGAATGTTTAGTGACAGAAACATGTTTACACTACATTTAGACACAGCACATACATAGAATCATTTGCAAAGTTATTTTAAAAGGTGGCTTTATTTTCTAAAGAAAGCCATTAGTGTCTATATATACACCTATGCCTTTGTATCTGTGTAAATGTACGGACACTAGTCTGTAAATTACCTGCTTGTTCTCTCTGATGGGAAGAATGGATGCTAACACTGTTAGCAGTGGGTCTTAGTGTGTTTGGTTTTGGGGGTGTGAGGCAAGTGCCCCACTCTGAGCTTATCCCCAAACCTTACAAGTGGTTTCAACCAAAATGCAAGTACGTGAGGGCTCTGATTTCATCTTTTATTTTGTACTTTCCAAATTCTCCATACTACTCAAATATTATTTAAATCTTCAAATATAACATTAAATGCTATAATAATAAAAACCAAGTTTTTATTAATCAATAGTACAGCAGGAATCAAGGGAATTTTGTTCTACATCTTTGGAAATTTGTGACCTTCAAGGAGTCATACATCAAATAATTATCCTCCTCCTTTACCTCAGTCCTCAAGGAAAGCCAGCTATCTCCCACGAGGGTTGGGGAGATTTCAGAACTATACTGGATAACAAATATTGTCTTTGATGCAAAATAAATATGTGTTCTCCACCCAGCAGGCTGCAAATAATTCAAAATAGCATCTAACAATCTGGGAAAATGGAACCTCTTAATTTTTTTCACATTTATGGCTACATTGAAGGGAATTAATCATTTATGGATCACCTGCTCCATTTCAAGTCAAGCAAACATTTCCCTTTGCAGCAATTGTCTGCGGATCCTAGGAAAAGCCACAAAAGTGTGGTGGGCTACTCTAACACATTCCATCAGCATGTAGGACTTCATCTTCTAACATTCTCTGGAGTGTGGGCAGCTACTTTTCGTGCATGTTGTAAAACCCAGCATCATCTCATGCTCAGAATGTATAGAAAAGGCAGTGATGAGGAGGGCTTGCCTGATTAGTGCTGGTCAGTGAGGTCAAATACCAAAGATCCTTGCTCACTGGCCCAGGAATAGGGAGGTAGGTTTCAGGCACAGAAATCAAAGAAGGCCAAGCAGATCCTTCCTTCTGTACACTTGGGGGACAACCTTGAGTCATAGACTCTCCAGGGAGGCATCCTCTGCTAGAGGGGGCACTATTTGCATATGCTGCTGCTGATACCAACCAAGGGAGTTGGGGTTCTAAGCCTGGTTCCTACCAGGTGTACTGGCCCCAGCCAGGGGATTGACTTCCCAGTGATTAGCTTATTTGTTTTAAATATGTATGAGTGTTTTGCCTGCACATGTGTGCCTGGTGCCTGAGGGCAGTGAATCCCAAGACTGGAGTCACACATTGTTGTAGCCATCGTGTGGGGGCTGGACCTGGGTCCTCCAGAAGAACAGCCAGTGCTCTTAACCACTGAGCCATCTCTCCAGACCCAACAATTTTTAGTTTTTGCATCTGTGGAAAATGGGGGGTTTTGTGGTCCATTTGGACTGATGTGGTGTGTGTGTGTGTGTGTGTGTGTGTGTGTGTGTGTGTGTGTATGTGTATGCCAGGAAAATTCAAGATTGTGGCACTTGGATTTGGTTGCTAGAGTGCTCCTATTTTCTGGTTCACAGATAACACCTTGTGTATTCACATGAAGGGATAGAACTTTCCTTGGGTTTACTTTATAAGGCCGTATGTAATCTATATATGAGGGCAGAACCTCAGGACATAATCAACCCCTAAGGCTAATACCTAAAACCATCTCCTTGGCGATTATATCTGAGGGAGACCTGACTATGCAGACCACAGCCTGAGTCAACTGACAGTCAAGGAGCCTCCCAGCTCAAAACCTCTGTTCTTCTGACTAAAAATGGACAGTGAGGGGAATAGGCCATTTTACAAACACTGCTGTAACAGCCCCTTCCATCCCTGGGTTCCCACACCGTTCCTCACACCGACAGGTGGGGTCTCTTCCCCTGCCTCTGGATCTGAACCGGCCCTGGAGCTTGCTTTCCCCACAGCACATGACAGAAGTGGCGATGGATAACTTAGGGCTGGACCTTGAGAAACCATACGCTGTAGGAAGCCAGCAACCATGCTCTCCTGTTGGAGGATCTCATGGCCAGAGGCTCCAGAGCATGAGAAGTCATGGGAGGAAACAATGGCCCCAGCCAACAGCAAGAACTGTGAGCCATACTATCTTGGACCAGTTAAGCTCCCCGCTGGAAGCAACAATGTGGGTGACTGAAGAGCACATGGAGTAGAACTATTCAGTGAGCACAGAAGACCCACAAAATCAATCTGGAGAGATTTCTCAGAGGTAAAGTGCTTGCAATATAAATATGGGGACCTGAGTTTAGAGTCCAGCATAGAAAAGGCAGGTGCAGCGATGTGCACCTGTAATCTCAGTGCTGTGGAGGCAGAAATGAGAAGATGCCTGGGCTGCCATCCATCCACCTAATCTAGCTGAACTGGTGAGCTCCAGGTTCAGGGAGAGATTCTGTCTCAAAAAAAAAAAAATTAGGTGGAAAGTTCGAGGAAGACACTCAATGTCAACATCTGGCCTCCACAAGCACATGTATACACACACACACACACACACACACACACTTTGAGAAATAATACACCATTGCTTTAATACACTAATTTTTGGTGAATTTTTCTTTACATAGAAAAGAATCATTGACATGCTAAACAACTGAGGTTAACTGACCAAGTGCTTTACATTTTTAAATCCCTAAAACTTATCACATCCCCTGGCTCATGAAAACTACCAAGTGCACATTGGTGCACTTCTCTTCCCGATTCTGCGATGCACAAGGAAGTAGATCAAGCCCGGGGTAGACACCTATCTCCAGGTAGATACCAGGGCTCCCCGCCACTCAATGTGCTATCTACTGGTGCTGGATAGCAACGCATTGAACCCATTCAATGTGGCTCTTATGTGCATGTGTTTAGGACTTAGCACTTGGGATTAGATAACCTCTCAGGGAGCCCATCCCTGGAGAAGACCGATTTCCTCATCTCAGCAGCCACTGATTGTACTTCAGATTTTATAGAAGAGTTTCAAAGTCTCCGTGAAAACACCCATGTAGCCTTTGTCCCAGTGCCGATATTTTTTTACGTGTACTTTATCACTCCCCCATCTATGTATTCACAAAGACATTCCTCAAGCTTAGCACTACTGATATTTGGGACCAGATAATTCTAATACACTGTATGATGTTCAGCAGCGCCTGTGCCCTCAAACCAAAAAAAAGTCAGTAAGATTTTGTTATAATATCTCCCTCCCTAACCTGCATTGTAAAGATCTAAAATAGCACGAGACACTGTAAACTTCCTCCATACGGGACAAAATCTGTCCTGGCTGAGGTCTATTAATCAATTAACCGACCAACCATTCATTCAGTCAATCTACCTATCTATATGTTGACATATGTAGTTGTTTTTCCCCTGCTGGCCAAATCTCAAATAATTTGAGGGTCAATAAAAATACAGCAGCATCTTTCAAGCCAAATAGCCCCCCTCTTCAGGAGTCTGTCTGTGCCTGCCCGCAAAAGCTCATCACAGCTGGGTTTCTTTACTGTTGACCTTCCCTCACAGGGGCGAGGAAGGTCAGGGGATCCTCACAGGAGTGATCTAACTATCCCATTCATGTTTCTGTTGCTGTTGTAAACACCATGACCAAAAGCAACTTAGAGGGGAAAGTGTTTGATCATCTTACCATTCATAGCCCACCACTGAAGCTAGGGTAGGAACCTGGAGGCAGGAACTGAAGCAGAACTACTGAAGAACTTTGCTCACTGGCTTGCTCCCTGTGGCCTGCTCAGCCGGCTTTATTATACACCCTGGACCACTTGCCTAGGGGCATCACTGCCCACAGTGGACTGGGTCTTCCCACATCAATCAATCAATAATAATAATAATAATAATAATAATAATAATAATAATAATAAACCCACAGACTTGACTATAGGCAATCTGGTGAAGGCACTCCCTCAATAAAGTTCTTCTCTTTCCAAATGACTATTTTGTGTCAATTTGACAAAAATTTAATTGTACAAACCACTTCTCCTAACCAGTTGTATGCAATTCTGTTCTAATTGAAAGTAGCTTTGGGGTCTTGAGGTGGGGGCAGAGTATATAGGCTGGGGATGGCGAGGGGAGGGAAAAGGGCTCCATTTATGCAGTCATGAGGAAGTCATCATCTATGCTAGGTGCTGACCTGCGAGTGTGGGTGCTTTAGGGACACCCATGTGCCTGCCCCAAAGGACCCCTCACTCATGCTCTGTAAGTAAGCTCAATACACTTATGGCTCCTTAGGAGCAGCTAGCTGTGATGGAACTGAACTTTGGTTTGTCATTGGGACCTTAGAAGGAGGGGATTGACATTGCCTAGTCTACCTCAAGAAAAGGCTTGCAAGTTGTTTTCCCCCAACATTATACTTTTATTATTTGGGAATTTCATACAATGCACCCTGATCACATTTGCTCCCCATTCTTCCCAGGTCTATCCTCCCACTCTTGTGCCCCCCAAAAGAAAAATATGCCAAGTCCAATTTGTGTTGCCCATGCACTCAATGGAGCATGGTCAAACTCCCAGTGTCTATGCCCTTAAAGAAAACCGAGTCCTTTCCCATCCCCGCCATAAGCCATCAACTGTGAAGGGCTACACTTCAGCATCTTCATCTCAAATTTTAAAGACTCTATTGAATAGAAAAAAGAAAGTCCTTCCAAGTGTAATTTTTATAGTTAAGTCAAACTTCCTCTATTTTGAAGAAATAGTCCTTCCAAGTGTAATTTTATAGCTAAGTCAAACTTCCTCTATTTTGAAAAATAGACAATTCACAAAATCAGCACCTACATTTTTATAATAAATAAAAATTAGGGAAGGGCAAACAGCTCATTCCTAAGATTCTAGAAATTACCACGTATTTGAACCTAACTGGTTCTGGGAGAAGTACATGGAAGTGCAT